GAAGCACTGCCAGCTTACAGCTGCATTTACAATTTGTATATAATACCCTGGTGTTTGGTAGATATATAGTTATCATATCTCTCTCACACAAATGCATGTTTGTGCTTGCACACACACACACACACAAAAGGCCTTGAACGCATGGGAAGGTCTGAAAAAAAATCCTTCCTGAATCAACTGTGTTTCACAAGTACTAATAAATTGATAAACAAGAATAGAGAATCATGAAATGAAATGGTCCCCACCTGGGCCTAAAACAAATATATATGGTGACTCATGTCATGATCCGGTAACCATTATCTCTGAGGCTTATGGGACAATTTTAAGTCAGCCCGGATTTTAAAAAGCTTTTGGATTTTGGATCTGATTGTTATAAATTAGATCATATATTCACATCCGGGCCTCGTAAACACTGCACATTTAGAACCAGTGGCATTTAACTGCATTTTTCATAAATATGTCACCTACTGAAATGGCAATATATTGGCATTAATGTGACTGTGTTACGACTGGAAATGACCAAATTTAGCCTTCTTGGAGTATTAGGGGTTCAGAAAAGTGTCACATTAATGCCTGTCAAATGTACAAGTATACTACTCACTATGTGCTGTTAGGCATTGGTAATCATGTCCCCAGATAAATATGTTAAGAGGAAAGATGACACGTAACAGCACTGGATGTTTAAAATCAAAATATGGTGACTTATTAATGGGACATATTAATATAATTAGCAGATGGACAGAGTATATAGGGGAATTGTATGATGACAATAGACCCGATGTAGAACCGCAGACCAATAATGATGGTCCACCAATAATAACTGCAAAAGTTGAGGATGCAATACATCATATGAAGAAAGGAAAAGCACTCGGGCCAGACAACATCTCACTGGAAGAAATCAAAGCACTGGGAGATTTTGGAACTGAAATAATAACTAAACTTTTAAATGATATTTATAATAGTGGGTATATTCGAAATGACCTTTTAAAATCCATATTTATAGCTCTGCTAAAGAAACCAAGCACTTTAAAATGTGAAGACCATCGCACAATAAGTCTTATGAGTCACATGACTAAGATTTTACTGAGAATAATTATGAGAAGAATTAGAAAAAAAATTAAACCAGAAATCAGCGATGAACAATGTGGATTTGTAGAAAGAAAAGGTACAAACAATGCCATATACAACCTAAGGACATTGTCAGAAAGAGCTAAAGAAGTAAAGACTGATTTGTACTTATACTTCTTCATAGACTATACAAAAGCATTTGACTGTGTAAAGCATGAAGAAGTAATCAAATTGTTAGAAAAATTAAACATTGATGGAAAAGATCTACGAATAATAAAGAATATGTATTGGCAGCAAACAGCAGCTATAAGAATTAACAACTGTTTACGTACATTTCAAAGCATAAAGAGGGACGTACGACAAGGATGTGTACTATCACCTGATTTGTTTTCAATATACAGTGAATATATAATGAGATCTTTAATTGATATGCCTGAAATTGTGGTTGGTGGACATAATATAAACAATTTACTTTATGCTGATAACACAGTCTTGATAGCAACAAGTCAGAAAGAACTACAGGAAATGATAGACATTGTGGGGTTAGAAAGTGGAAGAATGGGCCTCAGTTTGAATAATGGAAAGACAGAAGTAATGGTGGTATCAAAGAAATGAATTATTCCTAAATGTGTAATAAACGTCGATGGTGTTATTTTAGGATAAAAACATAAATTTAAGTATCTGGGCACATAGATAATATCAGATGGAAGATGCATAACTGAGATAATAAACAGAATAGGACAGGAAAAAACTGCATTTTATAAAATGAAGAACATCTTGTGCAATATATCCTTGTCATTGAGAGTTAGAAAAATAAATCTTGCTTGCTACATACATCAAGTTTTAACATATGGCTGTGAATCCTGGACAATCGGTAGGCAGGCAAAACAATTTCTTGAGATCTCAGAGATGTGGTTTTACAGAAGAATGCTTAGAATACCTTGGACAGCCAAAAAGAGCAGCCAAGAGGTTTTGAAAGGGGCGGGAGCCCGAAGACAACTTATCACAGACATCAGAAGGAGACAGTCATCATTTTTCGGCCATGTTATGAGAAGAGGGAGAATAGAACATGTGACCACTGGAAAGATCTGTGGAAGGAGGGATAGAGGAAAACAACGAGAGAAGATTCTTGACAGTCTTGTTGCATGGCATAAAGGTGTATCGGCACACAAACTGATACATGCTGCAGGAGATCGTGGAATATGGAGAGGCATGATCACCCACGCTAGTTCGGCCAAGGCACCTGATGATGATGATGAATCATCTCCCTCCACAGCCTGCTGTCTTATGTACTGTCAATCATAGCTCTTGAGAACTCTCTTTCTCACCTCAGTTGACAAAGACATATTGCACATAGCTTTCTTGACACAGAAGCAACATTGACAGTATATGCAAGGATGCCTAGCCCAGGAATGAAAATACTAGTAAGATCAACAATTACTTTTTGCTGATGACCTGGCCTTGATAGCAGATGCAACCATGAAATTGCAACGGCATCAAACATCTATTATAAAGAATGCAAAATAAAATTAAAATAATATGAGAATCAACATTTAAAAGATAAAAGTAATGTCAATAAGAAAATAGAAGCAGAAACTAAATGTAGAGTGCAAAGGTATGTGCACAGGTATGTGGGGAACAAGATTCACAGAAGATGGGGAAATAATTGATGCAGTAAAATTAACTAAGTATTAGGACAGCTAGAGAGAATACCTTGTGATGCCATACCATACACCAAAAGATAAGGATATAGAGCCTAAAGGTTGGTCTATTGGTACAGTGTGCACCTGTGTTTTGTTTAACAGGCCAGGTATTAACTCTTTCCCAAGGGGTTTAGCATCACAGGCCCAAGGGGTAGTGAAGAGTGACTATGAACGTATGATGCGTTCCTTGGGACTCAAAGAGTTAATATAATGATTGAAAATAATATTTTGGGGTGTTTCCTTCTGCGGCTTCTTGAAAGCCAGTTAGTTCGATGTCAAACTTTCTCATAAACCTCAGTGATAGAGATCACAGCACAAATCAATTATTTGATTTTTACTCCCCAGGTAATGTATTTCATTTAAGGCTTCACTCTGTTCATGAACATTGATTAACCCTTTATATTTCTTTGTAAATTTTAATTTAAAAAAATAGATACAATTTATAGTTTTATTTGTGACCTGTAAAAGTTGGGGGTGGGAGTTAAAATGACACCCCCCCCCCTCCCCCCACGGATTCATTATCCTTTTTTTTATTATCTTTTGCATTCATGAGGCGCAAGGGTTAAGACATTGTAAATATATGGAATTTCTTAAATGAATTTGAACCACAACACCCATCAAGTACCAGTCAGTCAGACTATAAAAACATGAATCTAGCACCATTTACCTGAGCTGCCACTGGCATGAAGAGGGTCCTTTTAAGAAATAGAGAAAGCTGATAGAGACTTCTGGCATAGAACCATCTAGAAGTGTTTGTGGATGCTATCAGTCATTCTTGCATGTCATTCACATGGTGTTCATTTACATTTTATGTCATGTATATCTTCATTAACCATTTTCACTAGATTAAAAAAAAACATGTGTTCCTATCAGATGCCTACTTTTAGTTCTTGAGTGTATTGTAATCATGGTTTGTGGCAGCATGTCATCCATATCAATGCCAGTGTCAGCTTGACAATTCTGCCTACACCAGCTTATAGTCCATGCCATGTGACACATGTATTTTTGTCTATACACAACCTTCTGTCTCATGTACTTTCTATAAATTCTGACACAGATAATCTTCCGTGCCTTGATATCAAACTGTCTTGCGTATTTTTGTTGATCTCCCTCTGCCTCTTCCCCACCCACCTTCCCATTGTCACGATGTACTCCTTTTTTCTTCTCAAGACACAACCAAAAATATAGATTGTGAGTAATCAGTTTCCTTCAATAAGTCAGTTTCCTTCTATATATATATATAATAATATATAAGATATTACAGGTCTACTTTCCACACCATAATTTTTTTTTAATATATATATGTGTGTGTGTGTGTGTATTGGGCTGACTCCATATTTTTAGGGGATAACCTGGTGCTCAATAAATTTTGTGGTTTATATAATTCTGACCACCTTTACTTTCCATGGCACCTATTTAAGACTGGATATTGAGCTCTGTTTAAAAAAAAAAAAAAAAAAATAAAAAGGAATATGAATCTTAGATCCCCAGACATGAATGTCCACTGTGACCCCAGTGAACATATTCAGAGCTGCTCATTTATGAAGTTGAGTTTCGGTAAGCTTATAGCCTAAATAAAGTTTTGATAAATGATTATTTTCAAAAAAGAAAAATGAGGGTCTTGTTCAATCTGATCTTTAATAAACTTAGGTGTAACTGCTTTGTCTTTGTAAGCTGACTGGGTTTATTTTCTTCTTTATAGCAGATCCCATCTACCTGATTTTTCTGTCTATGCCACCCATGTCTGCAGAAGGTGGTTCTCGCCACTGGGGTTTCGGCCTCGTGTCCTAAAAAGGACTTATTTTGGGTCATGTTTCCTGCTCTTGGTTTTGCCTGCCATTGTTTTTGTGTGTGTGTGTGTGCTGGGTTTTGTTGTTTGTGTGCTCCATTCACAGCTTTCCAGTGTAAGTTTTAAAAAAAAAACCTACATACAGAAGAGCCATATAAGGACTAGTCCTAGTCTGATGCACCAGTAGCTGTAGATGCATATTGAAATAATTCTGATCCATTCTCAGATCTGGCACCAGTATTTTTTCCACCTATTCTTATCAAGTAGTTTAGAGAATTCAGTCATTTTTATAATGACTGGTTTCGGTAATGGCCTTCTATATGGCATTGCTGGTTTGATTTCACTGGGTTCAGAAATTTTATAAAAATGACAACCAAAAAACAAATAAAATGACCAAACATAAGATCATGCTATGTATACATTTATTACAGTCAAACTATTTACACAAACTTTGTAGCCAATGATAATATTTTTGTAATGTCTCCTCCTTTTCTTCTGAGAGCTGATGGAATAGGAACTGTAATTCTGTTGCCCAGAGGATTTCCATTATCATCCACTAAGACAATGTTGTTGGTGTCCATTCGAGGCACATTAGGTTTCTGTTTCTGTCTAAGGCCAACAATATAGGCACGTTTCATTTCTCCCTTGACTGTGACCAAAACCTTATCTCCAAGGAAACCAACCTATAGAAGTGTAATTGAAAATAAAGGACAGTGAATACACACGCTCAATTATTTGCAAACATGTCTTATTACAGTGCATGTTACAGCACAGACTGTCTTGTTTTACCACAGTCCAGATAATGTCAATTTTAGATTAGACTTATATGTTTTAGTAGCCTTCACAAACAGGATTATTTCATCGTCACTGTGTGCCATTCAGTAAGTTCGGACAATCATGTTTAACCATCTCACACAGCACCAGGCTTAGATAAGGTATGTGTTCTGTTTCATATTATCATTCTGACCAGGCCATACAGATATTTTATTTGTCTTTCCCAGCTGTCTCTATGTTTTCAGGGTTCTCGTTTTATAACATGCTCAATGAATCTAAACTCTAAGGACACTGCAGTATTCAGGTGCTGTCAGAAGAAGAGAAAACTTCATTTGTAGAACTAAATATTGTGTAAATAACTGAAATGTCTCAGGTACAACCACCTACATGTCAGGTTACTGAGTGCAAACAATAGTAGTCTCTGAACATGTCACTCCTCCATTTCTGATCTGTAACACACTCATACACTTAGTCTTGAGAAGATAGTGTGGGGGTTCCCCATGATTTCCACATTCACAATGGTAGCTTCAAACCCTTGCTGACGTCAGTTTTTGGTGCTCAGGAAAGTTGAGTACCCTGCTCTGGTTAGCTGCCCTTTGCCATTTATTCTGGTTGATTCTAAGTGATATCATACCATACAAAGCATACATGGAAAGAGAAGAAGGATGTAGAGCAAGAGGTAGACCAAGAACAAGATGGATAACATCAGAGAAGCTCTACAACAGCACGATGTGTCTATGGTCGAGGCGGCCAGAAACAGAACCTTATATCTCCCTCGACACCCACAGCGGTAAAAGAGGAAGTGAAGAAGAAGATTCTAAGTTTCTTGAACTTTACTTGTTACGCTCTTGTGCACTGTCTATCCTCTCCTGCTAGAAGGTGCAGTTGGAAGTTTCATTTTCCCAAGGCATTTCACACTCTCCAGTACTTTACAAATGCCTGGATTCCTGTGAGACCCGATGCTGTACTTTCTAAATCAAAACCTTGTATACTTCTAACCCGATATATAAAATCTCATTCTTCTGCGTTCATCAGATACACAAAATGAACGGGGCTGATTTTCATCTGCAGTAAAGTGGGTAAAAAAATGAAGAAACTACACCTAACACATGGTCTGTCATAAAAATAAATATGGCCAACGCTGAAGAGCTAACAAAAATTTAACAAATTCTGAAACATCTAGAACAGCTGGATCATTTTTTATAACTTTGCCACACACACAGAAACAAAAACTTACCCTCTTATCATTATAAACATGAATAACTCTTGGTGGCTTCCCAATTTCTGCAGCAGCTTTCCCAATTGCACTGTTGTCAACAATTCTCATCCTTGCCAGGAGGCGGATTTCTTGCAGTGTTTGTGATGTGCTAGAAATATATATAGTCAGCATGAGTGGTACGTCTGTGGTAATTAAAAGTAACCGAAAAGCATTATGAGATAGGAGGATCCAGACAAAGCTATGGCAACTGGGAAGATTTAGGTTCTTATAAAAACATGACTGTTTGGCAACATGGTGATAATAATGGCAGATACTGCTATAAGGATGTTTTAAAAATCATCTCAAAAGTAATTTTACACAGCAAAGTTCAATGAGAGCTGTAATGACAGGAAAAAACTGCCACTTCAGAAGATAAATCCTGGAGTATCTGTTCTTCTCTGCTAACTAAAGTAGTCTCCTTCAACAGATTTCACCATGATTTTCTCCACATAATATTGTCAGAAACTATGTTAACCCATGTTGCCTCTTTGCCAACATCTCCATATGTTGCTCATGTTTTTAAATTATTACTGGACACCCTGTTCATCTACTACTGTTTGCCAGCTGCCCACTGAGAATGTTCGTTGGAATTTGCCAATCACGCAAGCTGGTGAAAGAAGACTTGCTATAGCTAAACAGCAGGAAGAACCTATGGCACAGAACCCGTCAACAAGTTAAAGTAAAAATTGTGAGCAGATGCATCTTTCTCGTGGCAACTAATAAATGCAAGGCATTAATTTTTAATCAATCCCTGAAGGGAAAAATCAGACTTTTGAATTGAAATGCTATAGAAAAATTCTTACAATATCTTGAATCAAGAAGAAAAACATCAAAATCCTACAAGATTGGCATATCTAGAATAACTGGGTCATCAACAGGATCCCCTCCTGAAAGCTAAGATATTTCGGCCATGTTAAAATGTCATGGTTGCCTGGAAACAGCAGTGATAGAAGGTGCAGTTTCCCGAAAAAGAGGCAAAGGCCGACCTCTACGAAGTTGGGTCCGAGACATCGAAGAGGCATTGGATATGAAAGCACATGGGGTTAGAGAAATTGCTAGAGAAAGAGACTTTCAGGCGTGCAGTGAAGAGAGTGACAATCTGTAAAGAGCCTGCTTTTTGATATGAAACATGCTGATACAGATGGTCAAGCTATTGTATTCTTTGCTGTCCAACCATCATGTACATTGCAGACTGACCAGTGTATGAGAATATAATTTGTTTGTCCCAGGCCGTGTGGTAGACTTTTTAGGATGATGCAGGTCTTCCACACCTTAAATTTTCCAATTGTATGTTGATTTCGCTGCTTATGCAACCATCTAACGATGCCACCTGGTACGCTGCCTCTGTGTGTCATAGCATGGCACAGCCCTGCATTTGTACTTTAAAAAAACAACAGCTTGGAACAGAAGATATATTTTGTATTTTAGTTCTTATTTTCCTTATTGCTTTCTCTTGTTTATTTCCCACCATGAGACAAATCAGACTGCAATATTTCATCAAGTTTGTGGTCTACTGCTTCCAATTCTGACAGTCTTCCTTATCCCTTGGGCTATCTGCAGGTTTACTGTAGCAACCTTTAGTATGTCCCTTTGTCCTGGACCCTAAAAATAGCTAAATAGATGACTATCGGGATTATAAGGATACAAATATCTCTACATTAACAGGAGGCAAACACATAAGAAAATATATCAAAAAATTATCGTACCTGAAGCAGCAAGCTGGGCCAAATCTTTGAACAACTGGCATCATCATGTTCACTGACTTTATTGTTAAAGCCATGGTGACTAACTGTGAACATTTTATAAATGTAATATAGGTGTACACCCATGAAGGAATATTTATTTGTCTCTAAGTGCTTGTGTGTATATACCATTTACTGTCATTCATGTGTGAATGAATCAATAACTGACATCACTGTGCTTGAGACATTTTTATATGTGCTCCATTTCCTTTCCCAGCAGCCAACAAAGAGTTCTCACACCGACAGTGTGTTTCAACCTGATTGCAAGTTTGCCTGTTTTTTCCCATGCAGGTAGAAAATTATCCAGACTGTACTCCCAGCTGAATCACTCATTCTCTCCATATATTCATGCTCTGTTTGTTCTATTGCACCATTAACTTTGTTTCAAAAGTCTTCATCACGTCTACTTCATCATTTAGTGCCTCACCGCTCAGAGGCGCGGCAGCAGCCAATTTATAATCCGTCTCATTACCACACACACCCAAAGGTTCCTTTGCCAGTTTTTATTTTCCGAAGCATGTAATGTAAGTCAGTTAAAATTACATTATGTCGGGCTGTACTACTCTCCAGCTATTAGAAAACTGCCATTACTGCTTCCACCTCCATTCTCAAGCTAGATGTGACGCTTTCTTGTTGCTTTGCTGCGTAGCACTGTAATCCATTCCTCACCATCTTGTCAACCACACACACATTTTTGACTGACTTTTGCCTGACCCATCCAAGAGCCAGCGCTCTTCAGCCTATGTTCCTTGCTATTGCCCTATGCTTTCTCTAGAAGATACTCCTGTCCTCTGAAATTCTGAGGTAGACTTTTGCCACAGCACCCTGTATCTTTCATATTCAGACAGCTAGGCAAGTGAGCGCCACATGCACACAATTGGTGTATCCTCCTACAGCTTTATCTTGCATGCATTCCAGCTTCTCTGGCTGGCTGGGAGATAATGTGAGCAGTTCCAGGCCATACTCAATCACTGAAATAATCAGCAATTGCAGTTTGGTCTGTTGAACAAAATTAGCAATTAGAATGCTGTTATGCACTACTGTTAATGTCTGACTCCAGTACAAAAGTATACCTACAACACACCTAGAACATGACAAGGTACAGCACCAATAGAATACTATATTATAAGAGCATTATCAAACATGTCACTGTGGACAATGCATGAATAAAGACAACGCTTAACATTTATAACCAGTATAATTCTAATAGGAATAAAATGGCACCATCCTCAACCCTTTAGCCGTGTGAATGCTAAAAAATGGGTCAGGAACTTGTAGAAATTGCTAGAAACAATCTTAAGAAAAAAATAACAACCAATTTTACACACATCCTGTCTAGAAATCTGAGGTACTGTGGCCATGTCAAGCACTACGGTGGTCTAGAGAAAATGATAATGAAGGGACAGTTTCTGGAAATGAGGCACAGGCCGACCCAAGGTGGATATATAGACAGTCAAGATGCACTGGCTGTGAAAACACCCAGGACTGCAGAACAGAACTGGCTACAGAAAGAGTGACTTAGGTATGCCATGAAGAGACAATGTTTTGTAAAAGACTTGCTGTTTGACTGCTATATTCTTCTGTTCTTAAGTATTTGTTCTTTAATAAGCAATAATAATAATAGAATCTAGAATTTGTGTTGGGGGGGGGGGGGAGGTGGTGTGGCTAGGGGGAATCTGAAAAAAAAAAACATTTTAAGATGAGATGGGACAACACAAAGATGGTAATGGTAATTTACAACTTTAAAAGTTTTAGTTTTACACGAAGCAGTATAGAACTAGTTTAGTATTACTATTACTGTACCAGTATAACATTACTGAATTACTGGAGTAACTTCAAGTATCTTAACTGAATCTTAATTCAAAAGAATATTGATTGTCACATTGTGAGTAGTGTGACTCACTGAAGCAGATGACCTGCAGAACAGAATAACATGATTTTAACAGTTTATCAAAAGCAGAATTAACTAAAGGAAATAAAACTATTGCCAACAATAGGGAGAGTCTGAACGTTGTCGGTCGGTAGTTTAAAGTAGTTAGTTTGAGACTTGTCCCCTCCAGGATTGTTACACTGTTAGTGAAGTCTGCAGATGTAAACACCTCAAGTTCAAGGAGGATGAGATGAGAATCAATCACGCAGGTACAAATCCCATAAGCCCTGTTCAACCGAAAAGCAGCTACACTGGAGCATCCAGCTGTTATATAGTAAACTGAAGTCCGGACCGGGATTATTAAAAAAACGCAGCTAACAAAAAAAAATGTCTCTTCACCTTGGACACGGAAAATCCACGGCTCCCTACCAACTTAATGTCTGCAGTCTGCAAGTGTCGAGTTAAAGTTTCACACAGAGAAACGGAACGAAATAAAGTTTGCGACTGGCGCCCAAGGCTGCCAATGCTTGGGTTTCCCCCCAGATCTGGGTTTTTATTTGACGCCTAAGGGAAATCTGGGTTTTTAAAAAAAAATATATCCCTATATAAAAGTGGTAAATTTTTCGTTTCGTAACTTTAAATTTTGTATATTTTTAACAATCTGGGTTTTTTTATTTTGTTTTCTTGTTCTTTGTCTATGTATTGCTTGGGGTTTTGTTAAAAAAAGCTGGGGTTTTCACAAAAATCCCATTGGCAGCCCTGCACTGGCGCCACAAAGTTACGTCACCAGCTACAGAGAAAACTGTGTTGATCGTTGGAGGAGTCCTATTTCTTTCAGGTTCCAGGCGGTGAGGATAATAAATGCAAAGCTTTTGTTGTTTGAAAATGAATGAACATTTCAGCGCCTCCCCCCCCCACTCCCTCCACATTCGATTAATTTAACATCATGGCACTGAAATAAAGCTGCAGCCGTAGCTTTATGATACTCATACTTTATCTTCGGAAAAAATCCAAAGGGCTCAAATTCAAATGGAAGTAAAAGTACTAAAAGTTACATTAAAGGTTAAAGGGTGGTAGCTTAGTTTATATTGCGCACGACTTGTCATTAAATACCACTTAGTATGTACTAGTTACGAGTTAACTGCAGATCTTTCTGACAGGACGTTGCAAACGACCCCAGCATTATATACTAGTACTAGTTACAAGTTAACTGCAGATCTTTCTGACAGGACGTTGCAAACCACGCCAGCATTATATACTAGTTACAATTTAATTGCAGATCTTTCTGACAGGACGTTGCAAATCACCCCAGCATTATATACTAGTTACAAGTTAACTGCAGATCTTTCTGACAGGACGTTGCATACACCCAAAATATTGTAGTTGCAATGATTTAAATGCAGCTGAGCCATAATATGAGTATGACACGGTCTGAAACAGTCCTTTGGATGCAAATGTGGGTGACTATCATATCCTTTGCAATTGAAATGGGTCCTCCTGGATTTACCTGATCAAAACGAACAGCTGACTGCTCAGCTGCCGCTGGTGTATATTCACCGTTCAAATTACTTTCCGAAAAAAATTTAATTTCCTATTATTTTATCATTATCAGAATTATAAAACATCTGACTGAAACAATTTCAGAGCTTCAGCCACAGAAAGGTGCATTTTTCGGCCTATGATTATGTTCAGAACATTAGTAACTTTGGCCAGTTGAAGCAATGAATCGGATCAATTTGCACCCACATATGTGCTAACAAAAACTTGTATACAAAGAAGGACATTAGAATAACCTTCCATGAATACTTTAATGGTAGTTCTGAACATTAGAAATGAATACGGAGCCCTATGCAAATTAATATGTTCGAGATACACGATTGACGCTGACAGTGTTGTTTGGGCAAATCTGAACTTCTCAGTCAACACTCACAGCTTTGCTTGGGCTCAAGGTGTTTAATATATACAGTGGCAACACTGGCTCAGCTGTCATGCTTTAGTTCTGGAAGACTTTTCTGAATAAAAATGGGTCTTAACTCGTCACATTTGCCATTGCCAACAACAACAGTATTACTTACTGGTAGCCAAGGTCATTTTTAAAAAAAGTCATGCTATGTCAAGACCTGAACCCGAGACCTTCAGATCCACAGGTGAGCATCTGGCTGCTACATGATGGTGGCTCCCTATGATGAGAGTAAATACAATGACACATGTGGTGATGACAGCTTGACATGCCCGATTCACCATATTGCCAATCAAGTTACAATAAGTAAAAGATGATATTTAAAGCAACCAGACAAAAATTAAGAAGATAATGTTTGTTCACTGTTTGACTGAGGATGATGTTTGGCTAAGGACTTGTTTTGCTGTACTTGGATATTTCAGTAATGTTGTTGTCTTCTTTTAATTGTAACTGTATCCTGTAAAGCTGCCATTTGCTTTGTGTTTTCCTTTTTTTTTTTTAAAATACAGCTTTATAATAGGGCAACTCATGTCATTTATGTTTCCATCTCTTACAATTCCTGATATCTTCCAGCAGAATGCTGTTTTTGTTATATTAGATTGTTATATGCTGGAAGTATCTTTTACTCTTACTAATATTGTTACTAGGAACTTGTGTATATCACTTTAAAAATTAATCTAATTCACTTTTTGTTTCAGACCAGATTGACCTGTGAGCTTAACTGCACTTATCTGCCAAAATGATGTCCATCAGTAAATATATTCCAAGGCTACACACACAATTCCAAGCCACATCTCGTTTTTTTCATTTGAAAAGAGGATTACTAAAAAAGCAATATAATTATAATTTGGACAGCTTGATCGAATGGAAGAAAGAAACGGCCAAAGTTTTTGGCTCGGTACGTAAGCCAACAAAGACCGGCAAAATAAAGAAAACAAAGAAGGTTCTTGATCTTCATATGGAGGAGAATTTACAGATTCTGAGCACTCTGTCGGTGAACAAAGAACATGTTTTAGACATTGAGATTAATTCTTCGGACAAAAAAGACAAAAAAGTAAAGAGCTCTGTAACTTGCAATAGTACTGCAAATGACAAACACAGTTCTAATTCATCTTCTTCATGCACCACAGACGTATATAAACATGGAGGAAAAATAAGAATTGCAGAAAATTTCTCTACGAAGGATAATTATTTTGACATTCCTGATGATGTTTTTATGTCATCTGCTGTTCCACCCGATGCTGCGGAAATTTGGGACAACGATATTTGTGCTAGTGATGGCAAGGAAAGGGAAGCAGTTGTTTATTACGACAAAGATTTAAAAGAGGACATTATAATTCCAAAGCTGTCACCAATACCAGCATGTGACTCTGGAAATACGCATAAATTTACCAAGTCTGTGATCAGAAATCGTACTAACCCTGCTGTGTCTATGGTACAGTATTCTTCAAATAAAAGTAGAAGTAATGAATTTGTTAATCATAATAATGAAACTATAGAAACAAACAATTCAGTGAGTATTTCAGAAACTGCAGCATCAGCTGTTTCTAACCCTGAGTCTGCATCTTCAGGCCACATAAATCCTAGAAAAACTATCAGGAACAGCTCATCAAAAACCACAAAAAAGACCACTTCAACAACTGTTTCTGACGATCTCGAAGATAATTTGAATAAAGGGTTGTCAGCAACAGAAATGTTTATTCCCAAAGTGAAACCAATTCCAGTGGAAACCCTGTCATATACAACTTCAGAGTTGATAGTTCAGCCTGAGATGTCTTCAGTGCCTAAACCTCAAACTTCAGTATTAGATTCTATAATAAACCTTCCAATTGAACCTCCAGATTCTTTTGAAATTATTCGTAATGTTCCTTTGTTTCCAATTGAGAACAGCAACTGGCAAAATAGAATAGATTCCCAGCTTTATGATGCATTCAGAACAGATATAGAACAGATGTGTTTGAACGTACTCCCATCTGTGAAGACCATTCTTAGTAAAACAATGCCAGACCTCAATCGTTTTTTTCTAAATCGTTGGCGAGAAGGATTGATTAAAGAGCTTGGAGAGGAAGGCTTCAAAAAACACCAAGATGGTAATATTTATGTAAAATAATATTTAAGTCTGTACTGTTACTTCTGTTGTGTGACAACCTCTGTTTTGTTTTTTGTACCATTGCATTTAAAATGATTCCTTTACATGATTCTTTCACTGTAATATTCTGAAGTGGACACATTGATATGTCTGCCTGACTCCAAAACGAAGGCAATTTAGTCACCAGACAGACCCAAAAAAAATGAAATGAGAATCATTACTGGTAACCATTTAAGGCTGGGTCTACCTAGGAGCCAAGGTCATTTTTTAAAAAGAAAAAAAAGGGCCGGCTTCATCATACCCGGAACCCATGACCTTCTGATCCGCAGGAGAGCGTCTAGCCGGTATGCCATAGCAGCTGCCATTTGGCTGTTAGCACCATGTATTGTATTATTTCATTATTTATTTTCTTCTGCAAAAATGAGTAAGAAAAATGACAAATTAAGTGTCCACCATACAGTGGGTAACACCTATCAACAAGCATTCTGAAATGTACATTACATGTATATCAAAGGTGTAGTTGAAGTAGTGAGAGTAGCTGGCTATTATGCCTTCACCTTAGGATGGCTTTATACCAGATATATGCCATGCCCTCAGATGCAGGGATACAGAATCTGTAAGATCAGGGGTCACCATGAGATGTTGCAATGAGCACATTTGTATAGGAGACGCCTTATGTTAGGAGCTTACTGTCAAGGGCACAACAGTAGCTGGCTATGATCTCACCTTGAATGTGAGAAGCTAATTGCTTGTGAGTCAGCATCCCATTATTTAGGTAGGACTTGGGACCCGACTCTGCATGGATCATGCAGTTTTGCTGTAAAGACTTGTTTCCATTTACAGGATAAGTAAAGAAGGAAAACCAACCAACCAATAGCTAATGAAAACATCTTGTGATGTGAGAAGAAAGACTAGTATTTAAAAAGGTGTTTAAACTTTATTGATGCGGGTTCCATCACAAATGGCTTAGTCTGTCCCCATAGTGACTGTTTGCCCACTGAAGACACAGCACATAGCAGTAGACATACTGTAGCTCCAGTGATGATCTCAAGGATCTCTGAAAGAAGTTGAAATACTCGAATTGTTTAGACCAGTGGTTTTCAACCTTTTTCAGCCTATCCTCCCCCACCGTTCCCCCTCCACTTAAAAAAAAAAAATATATATATATATATATATTGAAAGACCCCCAATCGCCCCTCCCCACAAAACTTTCTATAAAAATCTGATTAAAAAAAACGAGAGAAAAAAGGCAACATAAAAAGTATCATCATCATCATCAGGTGCCTTGCCGACTGGCGTGGGCGATCATGCCTCTCCATAATCTGCGATCTCCTGCAGCATGTATCAGTTTGTGTGCCGACACACCTCCATGCCATGCAACAAGACTGTCAAGCATCTTCTCTCGTTGTCTTCCTCTATCTCTCCCTCTACATTTCTTTCCAGTGGTCACAACATGTTCTATTTTCCCTCTTCTTATAACATGGCCGAAAAATGATGACTGTCTCCTTCTGATGTCTGTGATAAGTTGTCTTCGGGCTCCCGCCTCTTTCAAAACCTATTGATTGCTCTTTTTGGCTGTCCAAGGTAAAAAGTATAGAGATATATTTTGGTCAGAATGGGTTCTTAGTCCACAATAAATGTATGTCTTATCCTGTTCATTAGATTTTTAATGGTAGCTGTACAAACTACTCACAAAACAAAAATATCCCTGGCCTTTTGTATTTAATAGTTAACAGTTTTATATTTTTTAATTATTTTTTTGTCCAATTTTTAATTCATCATCATCATAAATTTCCACTTCTGTCATTTAGTGTTGTGGGGAGGAACAGTTTGCGATGGTTTTTGTCATTCCATGTTGATGTAGAAGCTTTTTAATGCCATCAGTACATTTCTTCTAGGGCTGCCTCTTGATTTCACTTCAGATCTTTTCATGCATGGCGTCTGCATTGTTAGTTGTTCTAGCTGCATTCTTACTAAATGACCAAACTATTTGACCTTCTGTTTCTCAATGAATCTGCTGCATAGTGTTACTCCTGCAGTCTGTCTGATATTATTTCTAACTTTATCTTGGATGGTTAAGTTAGCAGCATTTCTTTAGGCATCTTATTTCACAGGTGTTAAGTTTACATAGGTAGCTTTTCATAAAGTCTGGCACCGGTAGCATGGTGCTGTGTAATTTATAATTGAACTGTTGCATTTTGTAGATTCCATGGTTTTATGATGGATTTGTTTTACTTTTATAGCCACAATCAGAAATGGGTTGAACTTGCATGCCAATATTATGGAATGGTTGTCTGGGAGACAAGCTGAGGAACTGCAGATTATGCCTGACAATGAGGGTCACTGGTCCAGCCTGCAGCCGGCTCTCAAGGCCATCAGTGATGTCAGAGGTGTTGAACTGGAAGTCACCCATAACCTTCTCAACTATAGAGGTGTCTTTGACTGCCTGGCTCGATACAAGTAAATTAATAATTATTATTAGGCAGAAGCATTGTCTTTACATCTAAATTTTTCTCGTGTTCTTCACAGCAGCATATCAATTGATTTCTGGGATAAGCTGTGGTATTCACTACATACACTGTGATTGTATCGCCTCAGTGTTTTCACCTTTGCAGCAACAACCTTGTTTTCTTGCCCCATTGTTTCTGAGCAGCATTGCTTTCAAGGGGTGGAGAGAGTGTTAGCACAAGTTATTTAGTTAGTAAATAGATCATCCGCACAATACTTTAAAAAAAAAAAAATGCATGTACCCAGATCAAATCCTCACTAGCTCAGCATGTAGCAACTTATAGTTCAAGTCCTGTATTGGTTAACTCTTTTAGTCCCAGACAGTTGATACAGAAATGTGTTTTACTCTAAGCAGTGTCTGCTTGAAACTTATCCAAGTTGGGTTTAAATCAGTTGTGCTAGTAATCATATTAGACAGCAGAACTTCACTGTAACACTTGGGACAGGGTAGGTTAATTCAGCATCTGCATGAGACACTATTGGTAAAATAATGTACATCATGTAAGGAATTACCTATAAACATGTAGCGAGTTGCTAGATATTGTAAGAGTTAATAAGAGATTGCCTCCTCCCTGTGTGATGTTCAGTGAAAACAACACCCTAGTTCACGTCTGGTTCTAGAAGTCCTGACATGGATGTAGAATCCAAATTACTTCCTGAATGTTCAGTCTGGCCAGATTCCCTGCTAGCATTCAGGATACCAGCCCAGTCCGTTGCTAATGACCAATGCTATGGTAGCTGTGCTGGCCAAACACTGCTGTTTAAATACCTTTGACTGCTGAATAGTTTTGAAAGTGGCATACTTTAGTTTTACTCAATCCACTGTGTATGTTTACATCCTATCTTTGTCCACCCCGTCCAGCTCATTAAATTATGAGAATATCAACCTAGCTGGCTCTCTAAGAGTTGAGCCAGGTCATTACCTTCATCACTGCCATTATCTCTACAGTGTTGTAGTCACAGCCAATATCTCCACAGTTGTAGTCACAGCCAATATCTCCACATTTGTAGTCACAGCCAATATCTCCACAATTGTAGTCACAGCCAATATCTCCACAATTGTAGTCACAGCCAATATCTCCACAGTTGTAGTAACAGCCAATATCTCCACAGTTGTAGTAACAGCCAATATCTCCAGTTGTAGCCACAGCCAATATCTCCACAATGTTGTAGTCACAGCCATTATCTCCACAGTTGTAGTAACAGCCAATATCTCAACAGTTGTAGTCACAGCCAATATCTCCACAATGTTGTAGTCACAGCCATTATCTCCACAATTGTAGTCACAGCCAATATCTCCACAGTGTTGTAGTCACAGCCATTATCCCCACAGTGTTGTAGTCACAGCCAATATCTCCACAGTGTTGTAGTCACAGCCATTATCTCCACAGTGTTGTAGTCACAGCCAATATCTCCACAGTGTTGTAGTCACAGTCATTATCTCCACAGTTGTAGTCACAGCCATGATCTCCACAGTTGTAGTCACAGCCATGATCTCCACAGTTGTAGCCACAGCCATGATCTCCACAATTGTAGCCACAGCCATGATCTCCACAGTTGTAGTCACAGCCATGATCTCCACAATTGTAGTCACAGCCATGATCTCCACAGTTGTAGTCACAGCCATGATCTCCACAGTTGTAGTCACAGCCATTATCTCCACAGTTGTAGTCACAGCAAAAGTACTACTCCCCTCTCAAACCATTTTTCATCCACACTGAATTTGAATCCTTATGCACTTTGCGGATAATGAATGACTGGTCTATCTATGTAAGATCTTAATCCTGGAATTTAGGGCTCTCCCTGGTGTTTACTGAACTATTCCGTTTTAGGTGGTTACCTAAACAGCTTTAGGGGATGTTTCACCTGCTTACAACAAAAAATGTCACTATCATCACGGTCTGCCTGAAAGAAACTCGGTCTCTCGCCAGTTCTCCCGCCTCATGTACTTTCATACTCAAGGAGTCACTTATATCCTGTGCCCATTGTGTCGGTCGGCTCTGCTCCTCCTTCCTGGTACCATGCCTTCGGCTATAATTTTTTCCAATCCGTCGTGGCGCTTGATATGACCAAAATATTTCAGCTTCCAAGACAGGATGCTGTTTATTAGCCAATCTTCCTTGATGTTCAGATCTTTCAAGGTGTCAGTATTTCTCCTCTTCTTTGTCCAAGATATTCTGAGAATCTTTCTATAGAATTTCAGCTCAAAAGCCTTTATTCTTTTTCTCAAGGACTGGGAGATAGTCCATCACTCACATCCGTTTGTAGCCACAGGGAAGAAGCATGCTCTCAAAATTCTTATTTTGATCTCCTCGCTGGTGCTTAACCATAGACTTTTAAGGCTGTTCAATCTTTGCATTGCTATGGCCATACTCCTTTTAATTTATGTCCAACAGTCTCCATTGCTGTTTATTACAGGGTCTAGGTATTCAAAGTTTGTGACATTTACAATTTCTTCATCATTTATTGCTATTTTTGGATGACAGCCAGTTTTATCTGTGGACATTATTTTCATTTTCTTTAAATTCAAGAACAGATTTTGATCTTCACTGTGCTTTTGGACAAACAATATTAAATTTTCTATTCCCTTTATGCTGTTCGAAAGGAGGACTGTGTCATCTGCATAACGAAGTTCCAGAATAGGATTACCACCAATTTTGAGCAGATCATAACTGTCACAAGTCTGGTCATTTTTGACATTTCTCATTATATTTTCTGCGTATATATTAAATAGGTATGGTGAGAGAATGCACCCCTGCCTCACTCCCGTTTGCACTTCGAACCAATGCAGTGTTTCACCAGCTGTTTTGATGGCTTCTTGTTTTGGTAGATATGAGTGGAAAATATATATAATACTTGAAGTACTGCATGCACTTTGTAGATTCTTCATACTTGGACTTATAATGTAACAGTTCCAGTCATAAATTGATTGAATTAATTTTCTTTACTCCATATTTTAAAGACTGAATGCTGATGTCTTGATTATTATTGTTGCTAGGGATTTGTTGTGCATGATTGACTGGAAGACTTCAAAGAAACCCCGGCCACTTCTGAAAAACACTTACGATGATCCACTTCAGATAGCTGCTTATATTGGAGCACTGAATGCAAGTGAAGCATATGTGAAAAAGGTATGTTTCTGTTATAGTAATGATTTAATATATTGTTCTTATGTCTTCATTATTTGATTATTTCTATCAGAAGTAATTATTGTATAGATTAATCCTCATTGTTACTGCATTAATATGGTTGTATAACATTGTGCACAAAATAAAAGTTTAATTACATGACAGAATCACTAATGCTAGCATAGTGGGAGGACTTAACAAATTCCAGTGCATCATAAGGTGATAAAAAAATGTTGGCTCTGGAAAGAACTCCCATTAATAAACATGATTATAGTAAAACTAGAATGTTCTTTCATTTGAACCATAAAGCAAAATAAATAGAGGGATACTGTTGGGGTTATGAGATACTTGGCACTCTTGTCTTGTGGAGTACTAATGCTGAAGGGCGATCAAGTGAACATGATGCTTATTTGGTATAGTGTTCTAATAAAATGTAACTCTGTGATGGATTATGCCCAACAGGGTTTTAAAATAATGACAAATGGTTAATGTATTAAATAGGAAACTAGAAGTGATGTGCAGTGTTAACTAGTTCAACTTTACATGTTGAATGTTCAGTTACAAATTGACATCACAGCACACGGGACATTCCCATAAGCACTCCATCCCCATCTTCAGCAGTATGCGCAGAGTTCCAGTTCTGATGGTACCAGTAACAAACTGATAGTATATCTGTCTTGCCTTTTCCTTGAGCCAGGAAAAGATACATGGTCATATGCAGCTACTTTTGCCTTTATGTTAATGAAGGGTTCCAGAACAAACAGGAAACAATGGCAAGCAGCACTTGATCTCAAGGATGTGTATAACAAAGTTAGATATGATATTTTGATGATTGCACTGATGGAGAAAGGAAAGGGGGGGGGGGGGGAGGTTAAGTTCCTGGTTGGTGAGTTGGATAGCAGCTGTTCTATAGCCTCGTCGGCTAGCTTTTCGTCTGGGTTTATGGACCTCAGAGGTATGTATTATAGCCCCAGGACTGCCACATGGATCCACCATCTCGCCTGTGCTCTTTAACTTATAAACAACAAGTTTGCAAACCAGGGGTTTGAAGTATACTGACATTTGCAGATGATATTCTCACTTATAGGCAGGGGAGAGATAGGGAACAAACAGCCCAGGAGCTACAAGGGACAGTCGACAATAGTGGGGGATTGACTGGTGATCCTGTCATTAATCGTTTTTAAATTTTTTTCTGCTCCCCATCTCAAAGGGTCGACTGGTTAAACTAGAGCCCATAACAGAACTCAGCTATGCAGGTCATTTCAGGATGTACCAGACACACCCCATTAGCATTTATGCGATACATCCTTGGTGTGCTGACTGTTGCAGGTAGGCTTAAGGTGCTGCAAATAAAGTCAAACCTAAGAGTAGCTGCAGACACAGATCACCCTTTTGCACGATGCGCTGGATGCAGTTAAGAATCTGCGGCTGATAAGAGGGAAGTCATGGATGGCTTAGGCAGAGGACACAGACAGGTTTGCATCCTGGAGAACATTAGGCAAGGAGAGAAGTTGGTTAGAAGGCCAGCAGAACAGTCAGACTTGTAAAAAGTCGTAATCATATTGAGCCAGGAGTGCAGGGAGTGGCCATCAGGTGCCATGGAAGTGCAAATTCAGCAATTAATTTAGGGTAATGCTCCCTCAGGTGATGTAATTATTTATACAGATGGTCTAGAGTCAAGAGACAAAAGAAGTTCCTGGGGCTTCTTAGCAAAAGCTAATATCGACGTTTGGTGCAGGAGAGCCTAGCATATGATACCAGAACATCCAGCTTAAGAACGGAGGTGGTCACTGCAGCTTTCCGCGGGCCTGAGAACATGATACACACACACAATGTGATTGTGACCGACTCAGAAAAGTATGCTGAGGAAAAGTATGCTTTGTGCAGTTGGCATGCTTAGCTTCAGAGGTCACGGGTGAAGAGCATTGACTGGTCCTTTTTATGGGGTATGTCTGTTGAATCAACTCAACTATAGAAAGTTACAAAGATAGATGTATGGTTGGTTAAATACAGTACTCCACACGTCATCCTAGTCAGGTACTGCTTAACTTCTTCTTCTTCTTCTTCACATTCACCAGCTGTAAACTCCAGCAGAAAGTTTTTGTTGTTAGTCCACTTCTGGACTCTAATCCTTTTCCAGAAACTGAGTCTTGTGTGCAAATTCCTTTCACAGGTCTGACTCATTTGCACATAGACTGTTGGTTCCTTGCCTCTCAGGCAGATGTACTCCGACTTAGAAGGAAGCTGCCAATTAGTCGAATGGATAATGATCAGTACATATTATCACATAGCTTTTGTGTGATTTGGTTAAAATTGTATTAAATAAAGAGACATCGGTCATTGATATAGATGTTTTATTCTTAGTATGGTGAGGTCAGCCATGGAATGATTGTCGTGGCCTACCCTGATGGAAGTCCAGCTCACATTCATGTGATGAACAAATCAACCTGTGAGAAGCACTGGGTGGAGTGGACAGAGCGGCTGTACAGCTTCTATCAGCTGACTTACACAGAGAGGATGGCAGCAAACAGAGACAAGATTCACGCAAAGAAAGTATCAAGGTTAAGTGCTGCTTAAATGCTGGGATAGCTACAGTGACAGTACTTGATAGGTTTGTGATTTCTCTTTTGTCATGTAGACCAGTGTAACACTCAACATCTGCAATGTACTGTAAATGATGGGCATTAAATACTGCTATTAAAGCTATATATCCAGGTCACTTCAGTTGTTCTATTACAAAGTGAGGTTAACAAATTATGGTTTGTTGTCTGGTCTTATTTTACACACACTGATGACTCAGTGATGATTCACATATTTCTTGTGAAGACATTAGAATCTAGTCTTGTTTACAACAGGCACTTTAGCTAGGAGGAAAATGCCAGATTTGTTGAAATTGAGAAGTGAATGTCATTTTTGAATTTGGTGTGCATTCTTCACCTAACATGGACACAGACTGTAGGTCATAAATTGGCTGTCACGCAACCAAAATGTATGGCTGCAGCAATATTATCACGCACCAGGATTGTGTAGTCACATCACAGCTATCACATATTCAGATCATTGTGGTCACATTATTGCTACCTCTCATTCAGGTTGTGTGGTGACATCATAGCTACCACACCCCCCAATTGTGTGGTCACATCATAACTATCACAATCAGATTGTGTGTTCACATCATAGTTATCACACAACCAGATTATATGGTCATATTGTTAACTATCACACACAAGATTGTGTGGACATATCACAAAAATTGCACAGCTAGACTGGTTCCATCATGAAGAATCTATGTGTGAATATAAATTTTGAAACAACCTGAATTTGTTTATCGAACTGAAGACATGGTTTCAGGCCCAGATCGAGGGGCTCTACACTCAGGACAGCAGCAAGGTGATGCAGTGATCCCCATCCTTAGATTTAAAGTTGTAGATTAAATAAAAAAAAAGAACCATTTTGTTCTGCCGTGATCTTTCCTTTCACTGTAGCTGAAAAAGCTTCCTCTTTATCTTTCCTCCTTCTTGACGTGTAGAGGCTGTTATGTTTGGCAGTTTTTTTAAATCTTGCCATTTTAGTTTTATTGTGACTGTGTCAGCCGTCAGTAATATCAGACAGCAATATTTGTCAATGATACAAAAAATGCACTTGATGAAAAATATAGTAACGGCTCCTATATCTGAAATCACCTCATCGTATAACTGGGTGGACCTGATAATTCTGAATATAACACAGAATGTGAATAGAAAACTCAACAGAAGGAATGGAAAAGATCAAATGTTTGGACCAAAGTCGTTATCAACAGAATACTAAATACAGCTCAAACTGTGTGGAAAACCACTCAAAGGACAAGAAAACGTTATGCTTTTTCAGCCATCTCTCTGTTTGATCATCTTGCCATTTTTCAATCGATGTTACTCTGTCCATTTGTGTTTTAAGTGAGTCTCGTCACTGTGGTAGCTATTGACAGTATTCTGTCTTTAGTCTCTGATAGAACTTAATGTCTTGCAGAAATGATAACCCCCATTTGTATGAATGAGAAGATCTACTGACAAAGTAAGTTTTTGAGAGGTTTAACCCAGACTCCCCCACTCTGAATTTGCTGCGCTTCAGAAAATAATTCTTATGAATGCAAACATCAATTAAAAAAATCTGTGCCTCCTAAAGCTTCACAGGCTACTATCCAATGTGAATAACCCACTCCACAATGGTCTGCTCTCCTGTAAATATTTTCACAGGCCACTTTCGACTCTGCAGATATCCACTCTCCTGGAAGAGCTTACTTCTGTATCTTGTTTAGGATTCACTACATATGGTTGTTTTCACTCATTTATGACATTTTAAGCCATATTGTTAATAAGTCTCTTGTGGCATTAGAAAGAAGCAGATGCCTGAAAGCTCTGTGTTTGATTTTTTCCATATTATGACATTTGTAGCAGGCACCAGATTAGCTGGGAATTTTTTAATTTTTGTGTGTGTGATAGAAATGAAGAACAAATAATGGTTTAAATCTTCCAATTATTCCTCATAATAATTCAAAGACAAAACATAGCATCTTGCATATATCCTGACAAAATGTAAAACATCAAGCTGCTGTATTTCACAGAACATAATAGAAGCTATAATTTTATCTGCTGTGAAAACAAAGGGCATTCTGCAGTCTCCATGCTTGTTGAGAATTGTTTGTAATTTTATTGTTTATACTTTTTATATGGATACTCCTTTTTTCCTTAATTATTTTTTCACAGAAGTGGCATTATTTTGTTGACTTATATTTATGCATACATTTTCCTGGTCACTGTGGCCAGATAGTTTAACCATTTGCTTCCCTTGAACGATGGGAGTCTTATTTTGGGCTCCATCCTTTGGTTGTCAAGTGCAGGGGTTTCTGAGATCCCCAGGGGGTTACAGCTGACACTCAGTAGTTTTATGCTTTGTGTGGCACTCTTGGTGAATGTGCAGCACCTGTGGGGAGAGAAACAGAGCCAAGTAAGATAATACCCGGTGCAGCAAAGTTGATCCTCTTGCCTTTAATGTTATTCAACTGCCTTTGGAAGACAAGCATATATTTGATTTTCTTTTTAATTGCTTACATTAATAAGATACAATAGAAATGTGTTGAGTTCACTGCCAGTCTTTTTTGCTGTAAGATCATAAACTAATCTCTTTTTAGTCGGCATGGTCCAAGTACTAATGTGATATGTAATACGGCGGTGGCTATTATAAGACAGTCTAAAAATCCCATGGCACCGACTGCTGTAGGGAGGGAGGTAATATGCATGCACAAATAATAGGTTTTAATATTATGAGATGAAATGATCAGCTCTTTACCTCACCACTTTACTTCTACTACTTATTTTAAAAGGTTGGATTGTTTTGGAGTTTCCCCCCCAAAAAATGTAGAAAGAGAATAGAAAAAAAAAGAGATTTATCATTGAGCCCACATCTCTTTTATGTCAAAGAATTCCTGAATCTACTATCAGGCTTCAAAGTGATACAGTTACTTGGACTTTTGCACATGCCTTGCTTTGGGTGTCACATCCAGCAATTTAAGATCAGACTTCTAGGTTTTAGTGTTTGCTGTTTCAACAAGTTTCTTTAAGTGTCATCAAATTTCTTCATACTGAACATAACAAGTTTGAAATAATTGTAAGCTTAATTTTATGGAGCATATAATTATCGGTTTCTGTAAAGAAAAACATTCACTAAATTCCTTGTATATGTACTTTACACATTTGTTATCTACTGAAATAAACTGTTGACAGCTATCACAATTTTGTTTATATTATGTGTTTATCTTAATTGTTTGACATCATATATGTCTGGTGTGGTTGCATCTTTCCCGGCTGTTGTAGGACTCTAAAGAGCGAGTGTTTATAGTGCCTAATGGTGCTAACCAATGAAGTAGTTATCTTCTGTGGAAATCTTGTTGGCCAATGCATGCATCTTGGAAACAACATTCACAGATAAGCTGGTCTTTAGAATTCCTGATATTAGCAGTTGTCGTATTCAAATCCAGTCTATTGTCAGTAAAAAGTGAGGCAACGAAAGACATCCCTGTTGCACACCCATTTCCATCCTAAATGTATCGGTCTAAAGTGCCTGAAGGTGCTAACCAATGAAGTAGTTATCTTCTGTGGAAATCGTGTTGGCCAATGCATGCATCTTGGAAACAACAGCCAGACGATTTAATGGTCACAGACACCATCATCATCATGTACCGTGCTAGGATCATCTTCCTATGTGAACTCCAGTCAAGTGTTATGCTGGCCAGGAGGTCACTGGTACACTGGCCAAGAGGTCACTGGTACACTACAATTATCCATTGTTCAACTGACATTAAACCTACACATTCAGTCATGTGTTTTGGCCATATGAATGCATGAATGTATGTTGATAAACTGATGAATGGCATAAATGTGTTTATATGTCCTGAAACCATGAAACAAAAGTTATACTTCCATGTTAGTTGCCACCTTAGTAGGTATCATTTGCATCACTTGCTGCATTGGTTTGTCTTCTTTAATAAAATCTGAAGACTGGACAGATTAAAAGCAGAGACCAAGGAAATGCTCAATCACAGAAGATGAAAAGTGTCTTATGTCACTTTCATTGAATGTCGGACAGAAAGGCATTGGAGAACATAGTGTCGAATGGAAATAGTGGTACAAAGAGCAGAAGCAGATGAGAGAAATGGCCTTGGATGTTATATAGTAAAGTCACATATAGTTTGATGGTCTGTAGCTGCTAATTGTGTCTAAGCTGAAGGGCGCAAAGGGTGTTAAATGTTCCATCACATAAGTAGTTAGTTACCTGTTACAACTCTGCCTCAGTTTGACATACATAGTTGATTTTGTGAAGTCTAAGATCTGTCATGTCAGAAAGTCCTAACCGGTTCTCAGGTTAGCATACCTACTATGTTTATTGCCAGTTACTTTATGTGGGTATATGTCTTTTTCAACATTTCTGCAGTTTAATCAGAAAATCTCATTTATTCCTGAACTTTCCTTGTTTTAGTCCTCCTATGGTGCCATTTAAGTAGTTTAAGATTAATTCTGTTCGTTTTCATAGTTGTGGATTTCAAGCTGTACGATAGACATGGCCAATGAAGACACCTTTTTTTTGGGGTGCCTAATTTATCATGTTCTTAGTACACTTGTTTCCATAGCTAGGTGCACACACCATTTGGAGGTACCAGGTTTGATTCCTGGCACAGTAACTATAGCTTTTATTTTTATGTTGTCTAGTGTATCCTTCTATCTTTCTACTTCTTTCTGTGAATGCTGATCAATCATCATCATCAGGTGCCTTGCCGACTGGCGTGGGCGATCATGCCTCTCCACAATCTGCGATCTCCTGCAGCATGTATCAGTTCGTGTGCCGACACACCTCCATGCCATGCAACAAGACTGTCAAGGATCTTCTCTCATTGTCTCTCCCTATCCCTCCTTCCACCTATCTTTCCAGTGGTAACAACATGTTCTATTTTCCCTCTTCTCATAACATGGCAGAAAAATGATGACTGTCTCCTTCTGATGTTTGTGATAAGTTGTCTTTGGGCTCCCGCCTCTTTCAAAACCTCT